AACTGTTCAGGACATGTTTTCCCCTTGCACTCAGTCCTCAGAGGCTGCTCTGCCCAAGCCAAACCAACAAGGCCCTGCAGCGCAGGTTAGGAAGCAAATCCATGTAAATGTGATCTGACCAGCGGCTGGTCCTCAGATGGTCGGGGACAGAGGGGCCCTGTGGTTTGCTGCCATGAACTTCTGGAGGGAGACGCTGTGTCTTACTTGTCTTGGTGTCCCTACAGTGCCCTCCCCCTCTAGGACAGTGGCTGCCGCCTCATGGACCCTCATTCAGCTATTCAGCAAATATTTGCTAAGCAGTAAGAGGATTTGTTTTTCCAGGTTTGGAGTTTTAAGCTTGTTAATAACAGCTGAATTCTTTCTCTGCTTTGTCATTTGCACTTTGGACCTTGTCTTTCACAGTTTTTCCAATTATCCCTCTCTCCCTTCCTCAGCCCACTCCAGTATTCTGCCTACAGTAGGCTCCCAGAAAATATCTGTTGGGCAGGAGGAGGAGAAAAAAAGGTGGAAGAGAGACAATATAACAATAAGCAACACAGCAGGTAGGTGATCATCCTGAAATCCATCTTTGGAGTTAGAGAATTTTCTCTTAGACTATTGTCTGATCGTGTTTCCAGAAAGTTCTGCCTTTGTAATGGCTCTTGTCACGTTTGGTTTCTTTTCTATGCCGGCCACACTTGTCACCAAACCCCCTCAGTTTCCCCACCCAACAAGGCAAAACTTTCCCTCCCTCCTAACCTACCTTCCTTTCTTCCAGTTATTCCTGCAACTCCTGTTCAGAGGGCACACAGGTAGGCACCTTTGGGTGCTCAAAGTGATCCTCAGGGAGCTCAGTGTAGTGCGGAGATGGACACACAAATAAACCATTACAAACCATGCAATGAAGGCCCCCGGAGTTGAGAATGCAGACAAACTTACCAATGGCAAGAAATAAGGGGAGGCAGGCAAGTGGGAGGTTCAAGGAAATGATCCTAAAAAAGAGGGCCTAAGCCTTCAATCTTTATTTTTCTTTTAACAGCAACGACATTTATTTCTTTTCTTTAAAAAAATTTTTTTTTCCTTTGATTTTAGGGAGAGAGGAAATGAGAAGGAGAAAGAGTTAGAAACATCAATGAGAGAGAACATCGATTGGCCGCCTCCTGCTTGCTCCCCACTGGGGATTTGGCCCACACCCTGGGCATGTGCCCTGACTGGGAATTGAACTGGCGACCTCTTGGTGCACGGGTCGACGCTCAACCACTGAGCCACACCAGCCGGACCCTTTTCTTCTTCTTTTTATTTTTTAATTGATTTTAGAAAGAGAGGAAGGGAGAGGAAGACAGAGAGGGAAGAGACAAACAAACAAACAAAAACATCAACGTGAGAGAGAAACATCGGTCAGTTGTCTCCCGTATGTGCCCACCAGGGAGGGAAACTGCAACCATGCGGTGCACAGGACGACGCTCCGAACCACTGAGCCACGTTGGCCAGCGCAAGACTTCAATCCTGGGGGAAGAATAGACACAACCAAATTGAGGAAAGAGGGAAGGGGCTTTCAGGCAAAGGAAAACATGTAAAAAGGGCAAAGGAACAAGAGGAAAACGATGGAACTAGATTTTCTATGTGACCTATCAATTCCATCTCTTGCTTTCTACTCTACCCAGTTACCTCAAAGCAAGTGAAATAATGTAACCCTCAGGCAGCTTTCAAAATTTAGATAGCCAGCCCTGGCCAGTTTGCCTCTACCTGCGGACCAGAGAGTTACGGGTTCGGTTCCCGCGAGGGGCACATACCACAAAAAAACAAACAAAAAAACCCCACAAAATTTAGATAGCCAATCACTTAATCTCTTGAATAGAAGCCATTGATAACATGGGCTGGCCAAGAGATTAAGCAGGTTCTGGGGTGAAAATAGGACTGGGTGCTTATGGGAACCATGTGGGAGGCTGATGAAAATCAGGCAATTAATGTGAAATGCATGACATTTTTTTTATTGTCTCTCCCGGGGAGTTTGAGAAGTTGGAATTCTCTGCCATGCAGACAGGTGAATCCATGGGTTCTCTTAGCCTAAGGAGGAGGTAGAAGATGAGGACAGCGATTCTAGGAATTTCAGATGGAGCCAACATCTATTCTGAAAGCCTTTTGGACTAAACTTTGGCAGGTCCAACATTTTCAAAACATTTAACAAGAGGGTCCCAGTCCTACATCCCTGCTGCAAGCCGAAGAGGGGACAATGCCCTTCTCCGAGTGTGGGTTATTTCTGTTCACAGAACCTCGGACGACAGGAGGCCAAGGCTGACCTCTTTAGTCAAGAGTCAGCTCAACTTTAAAATTATGATTGCATGTGAAAGCTAAAATGGGAAAGAGAAAAAAAATCAGTTCTCAGAACAGAAATGCTAAAAACCCTGGGGGCCACATTCCAGTCAAGGTCCTGGCCCTGCAAACAGAGCTCCCCTTGGGGGTGGGCAGGCAGGAGACCAGCCAAGACCAGCTCAAATCGGTTTCGTGTCAGGGGTCACGGGGTTTATTCTGGAGGTGCCCAGCTTACAGATAAAAGAAACTTACCAGAGTGATTATGCTACATCATCCTTAAAAAACAGAAGCTCATGGCCGGGTCTTGTTCTTGAGAGGTGCCTGCTAAAACACTTAACCAATTTCTAATGAACTATTTGCAATAATTAAATAAGAGGAATAAAGTAGGTATTAGCTTCTTAGGGCGGCCATCACAAGCTGCCTGGCTAGAATACCAGTCTGGAGACTAGAAGTCTGAAATCAAGGTTTTGCTAAGGTTGGTTTCCTACTGGAGGCCTCTCTTAGGGGGGTTCGGGGGTTGCAGGCAATCCCTGGGGTTTCTTGCCTGGCCTACAGCTCCATCACTCTGACCTCTGCCTCTGCCTTCACATGGCGTTTTCATCATGGCATTATGACACACATTAGGCATGTGTCCTAATGTCCCTCTTACTGTAAAGACACCAGTCATTGGATTACGGCCCACTCTAATCTGGCATGAGCTCATCATAAATTGATTATGTCTGTAAAGACCCTATTTCTAAGTTCACGTTTACAGGTGTGGCGGTTAGGATTTCAACATCTTTTGAGTGGACACAGTTCAACTCATAACGGAGTGTAAAACAAAACCCTGGGCGAGGCCTCAGAAGACCTGGCTGTCCAAGCGCTTACCTTCCCTTGGGGTACCTCGGGCAAGTCCCCGGCACTCTCTGAGTTTCCTTCCTCCTCTCTAGAGCAAAGCCGTGCCCGCCCTGTTTACATCACAGATGCCATGAGAATAAAGTAATTTTTTTTAAAGTATTTTCTAGCCCTGGCTTGTTTGGCTCAGTGGTTAGAGCGTCGGGCCGTGGACCACAGAGACCGGGGTTTGGTTCCCGCTAAGGGCACGTACCTTGGTTGCATTTTGTCCCCAGCCCCAGTTGGAGACCGGGGTTCGGTTCCCGCTAAGGGCACGTACCTTGATTGCATTTTGTCCCCAGCCCCAGTTGGGGATGTGTGGGTGGCAGCCAGTCGATGTGTCTCTCTCACATGGATGTTTCTCTCTCTCTTCCCCCCTCTCTCCCTCTCGCTCTATCTGAAGATAAATGAAAAAATGTCCTCGGGTGAGGATAAAAAAGAAAATAAAACTATTTTCTCTATGAAAAGTATTTCAACAAGTGCAAGGGATTATTATGAATTCATTTCTGATTGCATTGACTTTTCCTTAACTTCATAACTACTTGATGTAGGTAATAAAATGGGAAACATGACATGCTTCCCTTCATTTACGTTTTGAGATAAAGTACAATGGCAATCTGCAGAGAAGGGCACGCCGATCCCTGTGCCCTGGGCTTTTCACTCACACCTGATGGGTGGGCTTGGGTGAAACTAATGGGTAGAAAGCAATTCAAAGGCAAACCAAGAGGGCCAATGTTCTCCTCCGGGACACGAGCAGACAGCTCCAGTGGCCATGACTCCCTTCCCTCTGAGTCTGTGTGGTCTATGACAATATCCTGATAATGGCTTTGAACTTGCTTTGTCTGATGGTTTTTCTGGATATGACACAGACCACCCAACTTATAAAATTAGCTAAAAGTCATTTTCCTGGCTGATGTATACAAAACTTAACCATTGTATAGCCAGAAAAAAAAATTAATAAAAATCTGTAGTCAAGCCCTGGCCGGTTTGGCTCAGTGGTTAGAACATCAGCTCACAGACCAAAGGGTCACAGGTTCTATTCTTGGTCAAGGGCACATACCTGGGTTGAAGGTTTGATCCCTGGCCCTGGTCAGGGTCAGGGGTCATGCAAGAGGCAACCAATCAATGTGTCTCTCTCACATCGATTTTCTCTCTCTCCCTCCCACTCTATCTAAAAATCAATGAAAAAATATCCTCAACTGAGGATTAACAAAAACAAAACAAAACAAAAATCTGCAGTCAAAAAAAGCTGTTTTCCCCTTTTTAAGAGGTCTGCCGCTCTAGCAGTGATTGGGAAACTTTTCAGCCCACCAGATTAACTCAAAGGGACTTGGAAGGTGTATAAAAAACTTGCACACACATTGGAGATGCCAAGAAGAGGTGTCATGCAACGACAGCTTGAGAACCACAGTTCTGCCCAGGGCAGCACGTGACCACCTGAGTGTTAGTGATGACCACAGTAGTGATAAATGCTGTTGACCTTGGACCTTGGGGATTTGCTGACCCAGAGGGGAAAAATAGCACCAGCAAAAAGAAACAAAGAAGTTCTCAGAAAGAGACTCAATCTGCCCCGCAAACTGAATTCTCTATTTCTCACTGCTGGGTATGTGAGCTTCCCAGGGCAGCTACTATACAACTTCAGGAATACGCCAATCACACACAAGGTAATAAACAAAAGTTTATTTTCCTTTAATACAAAAATTAAATAGCAAAGTTTATTTTTTGTACAGCGATAAATTAGAAATTTACAGTACAGACATCAATGCAGACATACGTGCGTACATCCTTGAAGGCAGCGTCCATTTCCTTTGACGTTCAGCGATGCGTTTGGGCACGTGCTGCCGGGGTTTGCCTGGTACCTCTATGTCAAACATCTGCAAGTCCCCAGGTTGGCCTCAAGGTGGCTGGAGCTGCAGGGCGGCGCAGGGCTCTGGGGAAAAGGCCACAGAGCACTAGCTTGACTGCTGCATGAGCAGGTCAAGTCGCATTGCATCTTTTCACAGATCTCGGCTGGTACTTATTCTTCCCTTCCTGCAAAGAGCTCAAGGAGCCTTCATCCTCAGACCTTTAAACGTCTTACAGCTCTGTGAGGTAGAATAAAATTCAGAACCACCAAGATGCCCCATGGTGAGAGACCTAGAAAGCAGCTTGCCCCTCCCAAAGCCCATGGCCATGTCAGGGCCCGAGCCCATCAGCGGGTGTGGAAGACGCACACCTGGGAGAGAAGATGGACCCAGCCGTCTCGGGGCACAGCTGCTCTTGCCCCTCTTCTTGAAGCCTTCTGGGATGACAGTAGTCATGTACTGAATATCACAGGGGGTCAGAGAGCTACCAAAGCTTGAAGGACGAGGCTCACACAGGACCCCAAACAGGCCCACTCCAAATTGCCTGGGTGAATACTGAGAATTTGCTGGTGCAGAGAGGAAGAGACACAGGTAAATTCCAAAACAAAAACAAGCTGCTATAGGGCAACTGGGCTTGCCAAGAGGAAAAGGCCTGCTGGGGGGAATCCAGGGCTCACCTCCCTCCTGGTGATGTCCAGTGTGCCTTTACTGCACATGTGCGTGGCAAGAAGCAGCAGCAGAAAGCTCTGACCAGGCCACAGTGATGCAAAATATATTATTTAAGCCTCTGGTATCTGATCCCAGATAGGAGCAAAATGCTCTCCTAGGAGTTTTCAAGATCTATGATCTAGGCCCAGAGGAAAACTGATAACTTGGGTCCTTTGCCAGACTTGATACAAACCCAGCCAGGGACTCGGAACCCAAATACAATACAGGAGCAAAAAGAACTGTCAGAGTCCAGTGACTCAACATAATTGGCTGAAACAGCAACTCTCTTCAATCTCCTCCAACACAGAATAAAATTCAGGATGTGGGAGGGGGAGCGGGAGGGTTTCGAAAGTCTGCGCTCTGTGGCTCTCTTCCCTAACTGCTGTCGAGGTGGAGGTGGCCTCCTCAGAATTCAAAGATTGCACCATCCTGGTGACAGCCCTTTGGGTGGAGTGTGCCCTCCAGGCTGAGTTCCTCATTGCATCCTCAGGTCCCAGCTTGGCTCCGAACACAGTGAGCACTGAATTCGGTGGCCAGGACGCCGAGGGGTGCCAGAGAGGACAGAGCTGCGGGTGCTGGTAAAGTCCCAGTTCAGAACTGGATACAGAGTTGCCCCGCATTCTGGGTTTGGGGTGCCGACGTGGGAGTGACCCGGGAAAGGAAAGTCAGAGAGCGTCTCAGGGAAGAAGTCACCGCTTCTCAGGTTTCAGGCCCTGAGCAGGCTGCCAGCTCAGAAGCAGCCTCAGATATCAGGAAACAGGTCTCCACAGGGGAAAAGGATATGAATCAACCCAGTAGCTCAACCAGGTGGTTCTGGCCAGTTCCAGCCTACCCCATCTCCTCTGCCCTGAGATGTGGCCTTAATAAAGGAGGAGAAAGCAGTTTGCCTGTGAGGAGGCTGGACAGAGGCACCCTTGGGCTCTGCTGAATCCAGTCTCTGGGGGCCAAGGGGTGTGTAAGAAGCGACAAGCATACCTACTTATTCTAGACTGCAGAGAAAAAATCAACTACCCTAACCTTTTTCCTGCAAGACACTGTCCACAAATTTACCCATGCAAGTCACAGGGAACACTTCAAGCCCTGAACTGCCTGCCCCTAAAGCCACATTAGATGTGGAAGCTCATGTCCTTCGAGCCCATTTTCACAGCCTTCCTCGGGGATTTCCACAAAGACCTTCATGAAACAGAACTGATACTTTCCATCAGCCCCCATCGCGGATTTGCAGGGAATTCTGGGAAGAGACCAGAGATGCATTAAAGCTAAGGAGACCCAGGACGAGGGTTCGGGGGTGGAGACAGTGAAAGAGATGGCAATTCAGAGACACCCACACCTTCCCCAAACCAACTGCAAAGCTTAGCAGATCCATGAGCTCCCAGCCTAGGTCAGTGAGGACAGGGCTGATTTTCCGTGGCATTCCCTAGAGTGCCCGCCACGGGGCCTGCACACAGCTGACTCTCAAGCAATGTGCTGATAATTGACCATTTGAAAAAAACAACCTGAGGTGACAGAGTCACTTCAGGGTAATATGTAACTGACTCCTCGGCCACGGGCTCCTTTCCTGAAACCATAAACACCCTCCATTGCCTGGAATGTTAAGGAAAGGCCTATAACCCTGTGACACTGCTAAAGCCACTAATCCGGCCGGCACCACCGCCACTTCTGATCACATACACTTCCTCTTGAGAAGGCAAGAGATTTGTTGGAGAGACAAAAGGTTGCTAGAGCACTAGCTCCAAAACTCAGTGTCCAGGTTCCCTCAAGTACTCTTATTGTTAGTATTATTATTTCATCATTCACAAAAATTGAGCACCTACCCTGTGTGTGGCTCTCTGCTAGGTGCTGCCTTGCTCACACAGTCAGCAAAACATTACACAGAAAATGGCATTACACACCCCAGCACACTAACAGCAAGGCCAGTGCCCGGCTGCACCCAGTCCTTCTCTTGCCTGGGCCGGAGGTTCTGCACAACTCCCCAGACACTAGAGCAGAGCGTGAGTAAGGGCAGGCTCTGCCCCGGGGTGCACACTCCAGGGCCCTGGCCAGCTATGGGAACTGTCTGCAAGCAGCACGGGGAGTTCACATTGTACATTTCATAGGCAATGTAGTCTCAGATGGAGTTCAACTGGTCCTTCTGAGGATCCTTTCTCATGCTCCTGAAACCCTGACCCCAGAGGCCAGCCAAGGTACTCAGGCCTGGCACACACAGCAGGGGCTCTCCTGTGCCCACTTAGCCACTGTCTCCAATGCCCCAAGACTTTCCCTTCCAGAACCTGCAACAGACTTTACATGTGTTTTCATCTCGGACAGCTCAAGAACCACAGAGGGAAGAAGAAAGGAAAATGTCAAACTACGGGCATAAAGCTCAAACAAACAAAAAGTCATGCTCATTTCCAGAATTTGACCTATTTGGAATTTGGAGTCCCTAGAGATGTCTTTCCACTAAAAAGTGTGCTAAAGGAGCTTTCCTACCTGTGTTTTAAGAAGTGGGGCATGAATAAATAAACAAACGAGTCACTGCAAAGTAGTTGCTGAAGCAAAGACAGGTAAGAGTTACAAGGAGAGCCACCTGCGAGAGTTTCAACAATTTGTCCCAGAGATCTGGTGATTAGAAGGCCTAAGGCAGGTTAAGAGAAAGGCCAGTTACATTTTTAAAAGAACTACAACTTTTGAGAGGCTGCTAGGGGGTACCCCCTTGTAAGGAACATAAAGCATAAATTTTAAAAGCTCTGGATACCTCCGCAAAAAGGCAATTAAGACCTGTGCTGTTAGAGTTTGCAGTTCATTTCATATGGCCTACACTTTATTCCCTACAAACCAATCAGCTCCTAGCTGGCATTCTGGAGATTCATTAAGCACCATATAAAGACTCCAGGCCACACTGCCTCCAATGAAATCTTATAAGGAGCCTTTGCCAATTACTGGGAAACAATTATGCACCAAGTCGTTGGATTAGCTGTCCTTAGTTCCCTCTACAAAGTTGAAAAAGTCTCCATTGTGGTAGGTAGACCAGACTCTTCTGATAACATTCTCATGCTAAAAGAAAAAAAGGGCACTATCATTCTGAGAATGCAAGTTGACCACAGTTTGAAAGTCAGTTGAGTATACTATTATGTCATGGTCCAAGAATGTGCTTTTAATTGTAATTGACACACACAAATTACACAGTTAATCTGTGTAAATGCAAAGTTGCCAAGAAACTTAACATTTTAGCTCTTCCAGACTGGCGTCTGCATAGATGCAATCACACAAAGTAAAATATATTAAGTCCCCATTGCTCAATGCAATAGGTCTCTGGGGTCGGTAAGGTAAGTCGACTTGGTAAATCTCATTTTCCTCTGAATTAAGTGATTGTCAGAAAGTGAATCACCTTTCCTTTCCCCCTCATTAGGCATGCTGCAGTAAAAAAATTCCAATAAAAATACCTATTTTGAGTTATTAATGTAAAATGAAAAAAACAGCAGCCGCCTCAAACAGACATGCTGAAATTTAAGAGGAAGAGAGAGAAGAAAAATCCACTGGATACCTCATGTGTGTTTGTACAGTACTTTTGTTTGTTCAAACAATTCTGTTTTATGACAAAGGCACTGAAAGATTCTGACACCACCTCTTGGGAGAGCAACCCACAAGTTCTAAACAGCAGACAATGCACCACAGAAAATGTTTATGTTAGATCAGCCAAACTATAAAACTCTTGTAACACGTCTCTGAACCCAGCATTTCCAGTGTTTATAGATTGCTTTGCTATCTGAAAGACCCAGTTAGTATTTTAAAATTTAAAGAGTTAAAAGAAGTTAATCTTTCTCCCTGCAAGTTACCTCCTCACAGCTCAAATCCCAGCCCTCAGGGAAAAGCAGCATCGCCTTGGACCTCCTGGAATCCAAGCAGGACCTCCATGCTCCAAGGTGCGACCTGCTAAAGTGATCAATGTTATGATTTTTCACAGCTTTGAAAGCCTCTAACTGGCTTTTCCATTTTGGATTATTCCAAAGTCTGCAGCAAAATCATTAATTTTATAATGCTGGGGGGAGGGGAAAGGTGGGGGACTCTGGGGGTCGCTTTAGGGTGGCTAATCTGTCCAAACTGAGATTCATTGCATGAAACTTTTAGTAGCATTTGCACCGAAATGCTGGCATTTCCCCCTTCAAAATCTGGGAAGCGTGGAGGCTGGCTAGCTTTATACCACAGTTTCGTTGCCTTTCCCAGGCTTTACCCAACCATTCCCTCTTTTTTCTCTCTTTACCTTCCCAGAATTCACCAATCTGTTGGAACACTTCTGCCATGTGTGAAGAGTTTTGGCAGACCAAATCCACATGCCTGAAGTGATGCCCACCAGCAAAGACATAAAAATTTTCAGCATTTCAACTGCCATATTGGAGTCATCTGCAGAGTATCGGAAAAGTGCCCAGTTGGAGATTTCATAGAAATAACAGGCAATCACACAGGTTGCAGGAACTGTGTATAGGACTGAGAAGACCCCAATCTTGACCATCAGCCTTTCCAACTTGTCTGTCTTTGTCCCATCCTTTTGAAGATTTGACCGAATTTTGAACAAGGCCACCAAACCTGCAGCGATGAACAAAGTTCCGATCACCAGGTAAGTGAACAGGGGAGCCACCACAAAGCCCGTGAGGGCATCAAGGTTTTGGTTCCCAACGTAGCACAGGCCAGTGAGTTCGTCTGCATCCACCAGTCTCATAATCAAGATGACAATAGTTTTCACGGCAGGGATGGCCCAGGCTGCAATGTGGAAGTAAGAGCTGTGCATTTCAATGGCTTCATGACCCCATTTGAGTCCAGCTGCCAAAAACCAAGTGAGTGTCAGAATAACCCACCAGATGGAACTGGCCATTCCAAAAAAGTACATCAGCAAGAAAATGATTGCACATCCTGTGTTCTTAAGGCCTTCTTGGATGAGAACAGGTTCTGCTGCCTCTTCAAAATCGCAGGATATCCTTTCCCGGCCTACAGTCAGCCTGACAATATAAGCAATGCTATAAATATTATAGCACATACTGAGAAATATGATGGGGCGCTCGGGGTAGGAAAACCTGGAGGAATCGATCAGGAAGGTCAGCACTGTGAAGGCGGTGGAGATGAAGCACAGGCTGGCCCACACGGCCATCCAGATATCAGTGAACTCCTTGGCGGAGCGGCTGTATAAGCCAGCATCGTAGCCACACTTGAGAACGCAGTTCAGGCTCCTTTTCACCCAGATGTACTGATCGGAATTGGTCCCCACGGAATGGCACTCTTCCCCAGGCTGGATGGGGGTTTTGTGAGGTAATGGCACCTCCTCATCACCTGGCCCTTCCATACACATGTGGTTGTGGTCATTCTGCGGTGGGAATTTGCTGCAGTTCAGGCTCTCCGGCCAGGCAAATCCAAATTCCTTCAGGACAGGTTCACAGCGTCTTTTGACAGAAAGACACATGCCGCCGCATGGGCCGATGGGAATGTTGATCTTCTCTGTGCACATTGGCACATACACGGAACAAAGGAAGAACTGGAAAAGTAATGACATGAGCAAAGAAAACAGTGACTTGGAAGTATGACCAAATGCTTGCACTGAGTTGTGAATACTTCCAGGCAAAGTATATAACTACTTTTAAACCTGCCTAGAGGGAGTCCGACCATTTATGCTGACCTCAAACGAGGGTGCTTAATAATCCATCCCTTGCACACTTTTCTTCTTTTGGTTCTAGTAATCCTTTCCAGGAGAACATAAATAAATAAAAGTATACTAAAGACCCCCAAAATTATATGTCCCTTTTAGCACATTTAAGAATATAAACCTTAAAAGATTGACTCTGAGTCTCCCTCCCCTTTCAGCTACTATTTGAAAGAGCTGAACGGACTAATCAAATGACTCAGTCATTTTGGTGATGGGTGATTTATTTTCATCCTCATTTCTTTATCACTATAAAAATAAAGGTTAAAAAAGTACATCCAGCTTTTCTCCTGTTAATATTCTCTCTTTTCTCTACCTTTTCCCCTAAAATTATTTTTTAATCAGTCTCATACTGAAACAGAAACTAATTAAGATACAGTTAGATCCCACAATGGGATGCAGGATGAGATGCAGGTTGAGGTCTCTGGTCCCTCGGGGTTTGTTTGGCCAGGTTTCCACACTGAATAATAATGAAGCACAATAGGAAAATATAAATGTTAAGTCCCTGACACTGCAATACCAGCAGGGGAGAGTGCAGTTGCTGTCCTCAATTCCTCCAGCATTGATAAACAGTCTGCTTGGCTCCTTACAGATGTTGTCTATGAAGTCTAGAGTTACAAGTAACTATTTTCCAGCATGTAAAGGGATCCAGTCTTGTCCTTCAAAACAGCTTGGCTGCTTCCCCGGGATACATGTAATTAAAAATATATATCCCTGCAAAAGCAGTTTCTCCAACTAAATTGCCACTGATGTCAGGATATGTGCTGTTTCCAAACTGAGAGCTAGAGGATCATTTCTTAAGCTTTTATAACCTAGTTCTGAAGTTCTGAAACTTCCAAAGGGACATTTCACCAGCAACGGGTCTAATCCCAACCATCTTTCTGAAACCACAATCCAACTTTTAAAATGACCTATATAAAAACATGTACCTAGTAAGTAAGCTGCCTGCTTGTTTCCTATCTCTCAAAAGTTACAACCAGAACCACAGATTTCTAAAGCTTTTAGCCCAGACAACTATACCCTATTTTTCCCAGTTTCTCTATTTTCTAAATTTCTGAAAAACCACTCAAAGCCTCACCAAACAAAACACAGTCTTGACACTTTTAAAATTTCCTTTCAATCCTTTTTCTTTTCCAATGAATTGGGTGTTGTTTTTGTAATTTTGTAATATTGTAATCACCTTGTATATGTAAATTCTTTCTTCACTACTATTGTAGGATGAACATTTTCTGTATCATTACATACACTTTCAAATTTTTAATGACTGGAAAAAACAAGGACCTTCCAATATACAAACTACCTTCTTGGAGCTTAACCATACCATCACCTTCTTCCCCGAGTTGTGTTTTCTCCCCCTCTAAGTACTAAATCTGCCCTCAACCCTAAGGATAAAAACAAACTCAAGCCAATCCAACAATTCCTTCCTGCATGACCTCTAAAATCAGGCGGGTGACACGATGAGGGGCAATTCCACAGAAAACGGGGCAGTGGTGTTTCATTTAATAAATCACCCAAAAATATGAGGGAGAAATGAGGTCGGTAAGGGAGAAGTTCCCAGCTCCTTATCTCTCCTTCCAAGTCTTAGCTGCAGCTGGCTGCCCCGCCCCGCCGGGGACTCGCCCACTGAGCAGCGGCGGCCAGAATCCTTGGCAAAGATAACCCTCAGCTCCACTGGGGTTAGGGGCTTGGCCAGACACGGTGGGCAGGGGAGAAAAACGGAAGGGCGGGGTGTAAGAGTGGGTTCTTTCTCAGGCCAGATGACTTACACAACGTTTTGGCTTCCAGTTCCTGAGAAGGGACAGAAAAGTGGGGGTGGGGATGGAAATCACTTTTTCAGGAGTTATATACCCTTCAGCCTAGAATGCGGGCAGGGGCCTCGACTTGGTAAGGGTTCCATGGAGTTAGTTTGAGGCGTCCCTACCCAAGGGTCTCGCCAGGGGTGGGAGTGGGGGCGCCCACCTGCAGCTGGCTGGAGCAGCCGTACTGGATGAGCGGCGTGAAAGTTGTCAGCTGCAGCTCGGCGTCGGTCTGCAGCTCATGCCCCACAAGGTTGGGCATCTTCGTCACGTTGTAGCCCAAGTTCTGGCACATGGTGATGCGGATGGGGTCGCAGCGCCGCTCCTCCTCGTCCCCGAAGCCCCAAGCCGGCCCCAAGAGCAGCAGCACCAGCAGCAACCGCAGACTGAGACCGACGCCCCCGGGCGCCCCCAGGACGCTCGGCCCTGCGCCCCGCCAGGCCATGGCCAGAGCCGGGGGCAGTGGCAGCGGCGGCGGGGGCTGCTCCAGCAGACACCCCCAGTTTGCACGGGGGTCGCCGGCTGCCCGCACTGTTCCCAGCTCCGGGACAGGGAGTGTGATAAGGCGCCAAGGGCGACGAGAGTGCAGCGGTTGGCTCTCCAGCAGCTGCGCGCAACTGTGTGGGATATTAGACTCCCGGGGCCGAGGCCAAGAGACAGACTGCGAGGGTCATGGCTGCAGGCGACGAGTCTCCAACCCAGGGCCGGCCGCGTCCGCTCCGGGTCTCTGCGAAGCCCACCAGCACCCAGCGCCGCGCCGCTCTCACTGCCCAAGCCCTCCTGGGCGCTAGAAGTTCGCTAGGTGGTGGCGGGGCGGGACGGACAGCGCGCCTCTCCAATGGCCGGGCGCCGAGGGCAGCGAGGGGCGGAGCCGTTCTGCGGCTGGAGGACCAGGCCCCGCCCTCCGGCTGCCCTCGGGCCCCCCCGCCTCCCTCCCTCCCTCCCCAGAGCGCCCCGCCCCGCCCCGCTTCCCGGCTCTCACTTTCCTCCCACCCGTTTCGCGGTGTTCTAGGGCCAGGCAGGGACGGAGCCGAGTCGCTCCGGCCGGGCCAGCCTACCCCCTCCTCTCCCAGGTGAGAAGTGCTCCCAGATGGGTAGGCTCCCTTTCCTTTCCTTTTCCAGCTGTCACCTCGGCGCATGGCCACCTCCCGTCAGGCGGAGAAACATATACAAAGAACACGGCATTTGGATTTACAAAGATTGTGACTTTAAATCCCCGCTGTGTGACCTTGAGCAAATTGCTCAACCTCTCGGCTTCGTTTTCCTCATCCGTGAAGAGACTTGGGAGGATTAGAGATAATGCGTAAAACGCTTAGCACGGTGCCTGGTACCCCGAGCTCGCAGCTATTTCCACTCCTAACTCGCTTGGGTTGGAGCCCGGCCCCCTCTCCCCGCCCCCAGGCTCGGCCGACCTGCGCCCGGGAGCTGCCTGCCTCCAGCCGAGTGGGGGAGGCGCCCCGGAGCAGCAGACCAGCCGAGGGTCTCGCGCTCCGATTTCCTCACCGTATGAAATGAAATTCCACAGGGGGATTCGAAAGGAAATGAGGCCGGGACGCTCCGTGCTTCTCGGCCCGCCGCCCTTCCTGTCTCGGGGACACAGTTTCTAAATAAGGTTGGGAGGGTGAGAGGGCGGGAGGGGAGAGGCTCGACCTGCGCAAGAGGAGGGGGGCGGTGGGCAAGAAGCGCACAACCACCGGGGCCCCCCTCCTCCAGCCTCCCAGGCATCTCTCCCTGCAGCCTGCATGTCTTTCTAACTTACTCTGCTTCTGAGTAGGGTCCTGGGATCTGGGTATCATGCAACCCGTGTTTTCATCTAACGTAACCCCTCTCCCATTCCCAGCCCCCCCCCTCCCCCCGGAGCTTTGTGCTAGTTCACCCTCTCAGATTTCCATTTGGGCCAGTACAACCCTCAGCAGGTGGATTCCTAAACCATTTACTTGCTGCTTTACTGTGGTCAAGGTACTCCAAGTCAGCCTCGAACTGGCCATCTGTGAAATGAGGAAGTTCATGTCTACACCACACAGTTGTTCTAGGAGTTAACTGGGATCATGCCTGTAAGTCATTTAACTTAGTGTCTGGCACAGTGTCTAGTTAAGTGCCAAATACCTTGGTTATTGTTGTTGTGGGACAGCCTCCTGCTTTCCAGCCAAAGACATCTCCAGCAGCCCAGGTCTGAGGATCTGGGCAAAGAGCTTCCCACTCTCTTTGTGAGACCTTTTTGTCCACTTGCTACTGTTTTCCTGGGGTTGGTAACAGGGACCACAATTTTGTGTGTGTTTGTATCCTCCCATTTCAGCAAAGTCTAGCATATGGCCGAGGCTGGATATTAGTTGGAAGGATGTCTGTACCACTAGTGTGGTGCTCATACTCTGTTTTGTAATTTTTCTTTTCTTTTCTTATATTGACAAAAAGACTTGACTGAGGGAAAGAATGGATTCAACATGTTTGGTATTTGGCTCTGTGCCAGAACTGTGTTGGGCACATAGAAGCTGCATTGTCTCCAGTCATCACCATCATCTTCTGGGGAAGGAGACTCCATTAGCCTCTTAAAGAGATGAAGAAACTGAGGCTAGAACTAAAGTGATAGTTAGAAAATGAAAGATCAGGCAAACCAGAGCCCAAAGGAGGCCTTTCAGATATGGAGAACTAAAAATTTCCCAGCTGGAAATCTACATACTCAGCAGTAGGGTTGAATCATTTGTATGCTTGTGGTGAGTAACCCATGAGACCATTGGCCTACAGAGAAATAAATGATTAGATGTATGAATCAAATTAATAGATGATCCCCAACCTCTAGGACTCACAGAAGCAGACAAAGCATAAACAGATAACTGTAACTCAGTGTGATAAGTGCACAGAGAATTTTGGGTAAATTGAAAGTAGAGGTAGCTAAGTTTGGGGGGCTGCTCAAAGGGAGATGACCACAGGATTGTGAACTGCTCAACAAAGCAGAGTTAGTGTGAAATAGCCCTTCTCCTAGGGCACTTGCAGGGAGAGTAGGAGGGTTTGGTTTGTGCTAAAGATATGGGTACATGGTTTATTAAACGATGACCTTCATGAGGTCAAGGAGCAGACGCTGTCCCTTGCACAGGGCCTGGCACATAGAGGGAACATCATTAGTGTTCTGTGAAGGAATACTATTAACAATTCAATAACAAACAACTCACATAGAACCCTTATTCTATACCAGAGTAAGGGTTACATGCTTTACATGCATATTATCTCTTTTCTTTTGCACAACAGCTTGAGAAAACTCTTGTTCTATGAGGTTAAGCAATGTGCCCAAGATCATACAGTGACAGAGAAGGGCTCAGATGCATGTCTCCCAGGCCCAAAAGTCTGTGTGCAGTGCATAGTACTGCTGCTCTCAGTGGACATTCAGTTTTCTCTATAGTTAAAGATGACCCTTTTATGTTCTGGGCCTCTGGTACCTGACCCTGGCATCCCTGCCTCATCTTGCTTGAAGCAACTGTCTCCTTTCAGAACACTTGAAGAAGCAGCCCCTTGCCTGTCAGAAGCTTTTCCTGTCAACAGCTTTTCTTTCCCTGCATGGAACTCATCGCAGGTATTTTCCAAAAAAGAAAGCCAGGGGAATCACATTTCAGTCTGAATGTGGAAAGAAAACAAAGCCCACAACTTAGAGCTAAATCTGAATGGCCTGGAGCCCCTCAGCTTCCCTCTCACAGAGTGGTTTACACAGTCGCCAGTCTGCTCCTGGTGACAGGCATGGCATGTTTGTCTTTGTTGCAGAAAACACTTCCAGGCAGAGGGCTATCCACCCTGTGACATGCAGAGAATTTAAGAGAGAAGCAGAAGATAGGAACACATGAATAGGACCTTCCATTAACCTAAAGGGCAGGCCACGGGTAGTGGCTGTGGCCTGAGAGCCTGGGCAGCTTCCTCTGTCCACTCTCCAAGTGGTAAAGACACACGCAGCGCACTTTGGAGCTGCAACAAACATGACTTCAGGGGCTGGTGGGCAGTTGGAGGACTCTCCATTTGCATCTAATGAGAGGCCGGGTTCTAATTAACTCCTGTGATGTGTTAATTTTTCAACCTGACATTTTCTGCTCTAATAGATTCTAGTAATGGTTCCTAAATTAAAGGCTGCATTTAAAGACTAGCGTTTAGGTTAAAATCCACCACCTAGAGGGGTTGGGGGGGGGGGGGCAGGGGCTGTAAACATCCTTTCCTTCCTAAGGAAAACCTCTCATTTGCAGTTTTTTGCTAACCCAATTAAGTGCTGAAGTAGTCACCCCAGAGCCTGCTTTTCATTTTCTGCGAAACAATCCAACTAATCCATATTCAGTAGCTTCCAAGAAAAGTCTTATTCCAACCACTCACGAAGAAACCAGCTTCTTTGAATCAGGACAGAACATTTAGAACTCACAAAGAGCTGTCTTGATAGAAAATGCGAGAAAGTGGTTCATTATTAACCTGTTTAGTTTTTGAGGGGGAAATTCACTGGGACTAAAACCTCAGAGGATTGGCAATTTACTGTGGAAAACAGAAGCATTAAGGAGAAGTGATTAGTTTATAGATAGTCTAGGTGCTACATCTTCCCCAGCACCCAAACTAGCTATAAAACAAGAACGTGTATACTGAGAAAGTGGAAGGGAACACTAATGTTGTTTGAAGTGGGAGCATCAGAGGCCCCCAAGAGGTTAAGTAACAGCTCTTAAGGGGCAGAGCCAAACCTTGTTCTTATCTGTTGTATCATTAGCCAGTAGAGAAGAATCCAAAAACCACAAAACTCTTGTATGTCAAGGAATCAGAGCCCTGTTCCTCCCACCAAGCATAAGATGGTACAGAAGACATTCTGTTTGTTGGTGATGATGGCTTAATATGTAGATGGTCAACCAAGAACCTTTTCAGAAGGCAAAAAGTAATGCAGATGTACTTTGTACCTCCACAACCTCGTTTCCTTTCAGTATTTATCAGTCAAGCCATTAGTAAATGTTTACTGATGGGTTATTGTAGACATGTCACTAAGCTGGGTATGGGAGGTATGCAGACATGTAAAAGGTGATCCTTGTCTTCAAGGAACTTACAGTCAGTCACATTAGAGGAGATTAAGACATGAGACCAAGAGTGAAACCAGCTTGTTTATAATGAAGTGCTTTTTCTTGAGCTCCCTTACTGTATTATAAGTTTGGTTTGAGGGATCTTGTTTTTGTTTATTTGTTTGGTCTCCTTCACAACCCTCTGAAGTCAGAGGCTGTATCTTATTCACCATTGTTCTCCTGAACAGCAAAGAAAAGCACTTCCTGATCCATGGAAAGCACTCCGTGGATACTTGTTGAATAAATAAATAAATGGTTCAGGCTATAAGTCCTCTAACTCTTCAGAAGAGTCTTCATTATGTGCTCAGTACAGGTGACCACCAAAATGCAACCTCACTGGTTCCAGAATTATGGTCAAGTCTGTTCTGTCAGCCATTCCTACAAGATGCCTTTCGGCTTTCCTCTGAGCTTGGATGGTTTACCAATAATTTATCGTCCTGTTTTTATTTTACTATACCAATTCTTAAATCTTTCAAGGTAGAACAGTGTCTTGGCCACAATTGTTATTTAATTCAGAGCCTGTGTTCTACGTCATGAATCAGCCCCAGACATTTTCTTATCACTGCTCATTGGCTCGTTGACCACTCATCTCATCATTGTCAGCTGAAGCAATTGAGAATCGTATACGTCACAAGACAGGTTGCAAGCAGGGGTCTTAAGCCAAGGAGTTATAAGTCAAAAGATCATCTGCAAGTGGTAATTTT